GGCGAGGGTAACGGGCAGGTGGAATTACTAATTACGATACTACAGGTATTAAAAATTCGCTTCGTAATAAATTAGGTACGACATATAAAGGAGAGAAATGTACATTTATAAATCGCTAATAATTATTATCGTTACACGTATATCATCATCGAGGGCTACATATCCTTATGTTATCCTTTTTTCATCGTTTCTTTTTCTTTCTTTCTTTCTTTCTTTCTTTCTTTCTTTTTTCTTCTTCTTCTTCTTGTTCCGTCTTATTCAGACAATAATATAACAATTGCAAGGCTGATTTGTACGAGTGTTTCAGTATAGTAAAATATTCGCTCCACGACATTATTAACCCCAGAACTGAGTCTGAGAGATCGTTTGATCGTTCAGCAGCTACGACGAATGATGATCGTTTTGAATTAGTCGAGTCCTTCCGTAGATTTATAAGAATTTCTTTTTCCTCGAATGAAGGACCTCATTTTGTTTTTGTTTCTTAAACGACATGTCGCTATATTACTTCGAATTTTCGCCCCGTGGAACACGCATACATTTTAACTCTTTCATCATAAAACCAGTTGCTGTAATGACTGATTGCTATACCGTCTGTTGCGCATATAGTCACTATGGTGATTACGGTTTGCTTTATAACTACTATTCGGTGAATAGAACTACACGAACAAGTATGGAAATCGTTGTTGCGAATATTTAATAATTAATCCTATTTGTACAGTGATTATGGTTGCTTCTGTAACATAGTTGTCAACGGAATACAACTGTAACTATGCTTAGAAGTACTATTGAAAGTAGAGAGTGTAATCCAGCATGAAGTATTCTTCATTAATGCTTGATAACAACGAACGAAATAATAATACGAGGAAGCCAATGATTAATTATTAACTACTATATAATTATGATAATCGTTGCGTCAGAGTAACGTAAAAAATTAAATGGAAATCGAGAAGAATATTGAACAATTTTTGCAAAATGATCGCTTGTTTGTTTGAACAATTTTTAAGCTCTATTCGCATGCGTACGTTGATTAATTACGAAAGAGTTAAACAACAATTTTTTGCAGAAACAGAAGAGAAAAAAAATTTGCTTCATTGTAAAAATTAAAAGAGTCTTTGTAACGTGAGTCATATTGGACTGGCCTAGTTCAAAAGATTTACAATTACACCACGAGTGTATAGCAATCATTTACAGTCGTAGTGACGATGATAATTCGTTGTTTTCATGCAATTTTTTTTATCGCGAGTTAAGATTTTACTTTTTTTTTTCTTTCGTCGAATTACGATGTTCGGTTCATCGGTGATTGTTCTTAGCTACGTTTTTTAAACGATTGTTTTCTCTCTATCGGTTCCTTTGATCATACTTGTTGTAAGACATGTTTTCATTTGATTTTCATGTGTGCTCTCATTACCCCGAAGAAGAAAAAAACATGCATTTATTGATACACGCATATTCTGTGCCTGAGAGCTTGAAGGCCTAGAA